TACAGCTCCCATATATATTGTTCATCCGATTTGTTATTTTTGTCCCCCGCAACCGTAATATGCACTCTGTAACAACATTATTTGGGGAAATAAATCAAATATAGCTCAGAAATACCTTTGCTAAATTTTATCGAGATCGGTTCGGATTTGGATATAGCTTCCATATATAATTTCGTCAGATTTACCTTTAATTGTGCACCAAACGTCTAATATTTGTCCAAATGAGATGGAATTTGGCACTTACGACCGAATCGAGTCTAGAAATAAGTGTGTCAAATTTGGTAAAAATCGGTTAAGATATAGCTATAGCTCTCATATATATTTTTCACCCGATTTGTTATATTTATATATATGTAACAACGATATTCGGGGAAATATATCAAATACAGCTCAGAAATATCTTTGCCAAATTTTATCGAGATCAGTTCCGATTTGGATATAGGTCCCATATATATCTTGATCCAAATTCAACTTAATTGTGCACCAAATAGGTAATACAAGCCCGAATTGAAAAGACACAAATGTCTCGTAAAGTTTGATAGAAATCGATTAAGAGGAGGATATTCCTCTTATATGCTGCTTACTTCGGACTTTATATTATATCTACAGGGTGAGAAAAAAACCTGCAGCAAAGTCAAACGCCATAATTTCTACAATTTTTTTAACTTTATTTAATGAAAGCAAAAAATGTCGGAAATAGCATCAAATTTTTTAGAATAAGTTTAGATTCGTTCGAATTGATCACCTTTGGCACGAATTATGGCCTTCAAACGGCCAATGAAACCGTCACACGCTGCCCGAATATTGCTCTGTGGTATTTTGGCCCATTCCCGGCAAAGCGCTTGCTTGAGGTGATCGAAACTTTGGTATTTTTTAGTGCCAACCTTGCTTTCCAAAATATATTCCAGACACAATAGTCCAACGGATTGGTATCCGGAGATTTTGATGGCCATTGTGCGCTGGAAATGAAGCGAGGAACCTCATTTTGTAACCATTCTTGGGTGGCGCGTGCTGAGTGCGATGGTGCTGAGTCCTGTTGGAATGACAAGGTCTGAGGCCAAAATATTTGCGTGCCCAAGGCTTTAATACACCCTCCAGAATATTTTCGCGATAATATTCGGTATTTATTCTGATGCCACGGTCGACTAATACGAGCGGTGAGCGACTATCGGCTATTATGGCGGCCCACACCATCACCATGGCCGGCGCTTGAGTTCTGGTAGCCAACCGAAGGTGCTTTTTCAGCTGACCTCTTTGGCAAGTAAACACGATTATTTTGTTTGTTTACAAACTTCTGGACAACGAATTCGGCACTTCAACACTTTCGGCCAAGCGAAGCAACTCTTTAGCTCTTTTGAGCCTATTTTCTTTTTGTGTAACTTCTTGCACTTTTTGGAATTTCAATGGCTTTACCCCGAGCTCATTTTTCAATATTTGCCGAATGGAATATTGCAATATGTTCTGCTCACGAGCCATTTTTCGGCCACGATAGCCACTTGTGGTTTTCCACCCAAATATAAAGAAATCACACCATCACCCTTGAATTCCATCACGAATAGCGCTTTTAGCTGGAAAATTCTCACAAAAATAATTTTGTACGCTTGTAAACAAAATAAGGAGGTGTCACTGGAATAATATTAACAGCTTTCGGACGAGTGGCTTAGAAATGACAGCAGTCCTGTACTTTTGAAAAAGGACCATAAAGACCAATTTGATCACTCGCTTGAGGGTTAAAATTTCTAACCAAAATAATCCTGAATTTTAAGATTTTAAATTAAATTTGCCGAGGACACCATATGTATACCTAAAATGAACGAATTCTAAGAAATTGTAAACCAAAAATTTCCTTAAGAACATGGGCCTTCATAAACATGAGAATTAGTCCAAGAGGAAATCTTCCAATTTCCTTCAAATATGCGTATTCAACTACCCGTATATTCACCTCTACGCATTGAAAACTTTTTCCGATATACATCTCTTCTATTTTTAGCTCTTTAGAAAGCAGATTATAAAGCTTTCGTTTTTTTCACTCTAGCTCCGAACGAAATGAAGTAGATTGCTAAAATTTTACTCAAATGTGTATTATGTCTGCATGACTTTCGGTATTAAAATTGGGTCATGTAGGTCCATGTTTTGGTATAACCCCCATATAATGGTACCTCTCTTTTTCCGGTGTTTTTGGTGATTTTAGCGACATTATTCAACGGAATTGATTCAAATTTGGTATTTAAAGTTCGTAATGGGTACTAATGGTGTAGGGTATTCAAAGATCGGCCCAGCTGAACTTACAGCTTTTTTAGTTCTTAAAGTTCAACTTCACATTTAAAACTCTTTTAAAATATTCTTAGTCGCTGATTCTTATTTTTCAAAGCCTCCGATGATCTCATTATTGTGGAGTGCATATTGCGCATGTGAGTGACATTAACACCAAATCGGAAGCGATAGATATATCTGAACCGATTTTCACCAAATTGGAAGTACTTGTTTCTAGAATGAATTCAGTCGGAATTGCCATATTAAATAAATACATACAAATCTGATTAGATTTCGATAAGATTTGACGAGTATTTTTGAGCTCTATAAGTTATATGATACCAAATATCATTCTTGTGGAGTACATATTACGCATGTGAGGGGCTTTTACCACAAATCGGATGAAAGATGTGTATGGGAGCTATAGTTACATCTAAACCGATTCTACAAAATTTTATGTACTTGCTTCTAGACTGAATTCGGTCGGATGTGCCAAAAATTTGGGTCATTTGTACCGATATTGGCTATTTGGTGCACAATTAACCCGAAATCGGTTCAAGATATATGTGGGAGCTACATCTAAACTTGATTCATTTTCCGATTTTTACCAATTTCAATAGGGTTCGTCCTTGAGCCAAACAGATGTTGTTTGGAAAATTTCATCTCAATCGGATTATAAATACAATTTTCAAGGATTTGAAATTATGACCATAAGAAATCACCGAATATGTATAGTAGAGTACTCAAATGTCGACATTGCCAAATTGAAGGCACTTTTTACTTGCATACTTTCTTTCAGCTCCATATTGTTATTTTTTCAGAATTTATTTTTACTTCGATCGTTTGGCATGTGATCTATCAAGAATTAGATTTTTTATTTACACGTATTTAGGAAGAGACCTATTCATATCCTAACTCAAATTTAAGTTGGCCCCTACCAAAAAAAAATCCGTTCGGAGAGAAACCAAAATATTTTTCGGAAAATTTCATCTCAATCGATTAATAAATAAAATTTTCAAGGATCTGCAATTATGACCATAAGAAATCACCGAATATGTATAGCATAAGATTCAAAATTCGACATTACCAGATTGAAGGCACTTTTTACTTGTATACTCTCTTTCAGCTCCATAGGTTGTAATTTTTTCAGAATTTCTTTTTACCTCGATCGTTTGGCATGTGATCTATCCAGATTTTTTATTTGCATGATTTTAAGAAGAAACCTATTCATATCCTATCCCCAAAGATCAAATCGGTCCTTACCAAAAAAATCCGTTCGGAGAGACCCCAAAATAAATTAAATCATTACGCCCATAAATTTTAGCCAAGCTTTTCAGCATACATAAAAATATAGGGCCCTGTCCATTCGTTTCTCGTGGCGTATGAGTAACACATATAAATGTATTACTCATACGCACAAAGCCCTTCATATTGCTCATTTATAAGTGTGTATGTGATTTTCTGTGAATGTGCAGAACACTTGCAATGGCTAATGATTTTTATAGTGAAAACCATGAACAACCCTTTAATTTTTAATAAAACAAAAGCGGAAAACTCCACACCAGCTTAAAATAAATAATCCATAAAATATAAAAATAACCATAATGATAATCTGGACCCCTTACAGCTTAAAGGATTAAAAATTGGTTTACCAAAAAACGAACCCAACACATATTTAAAATTCAATACCAAATCTACTTAAATACAACTTTGCAATAACTTTAATATTTGTTCAACATATGCCAGGCGTTTTTCTCCAATTACCAATAAAACTAACTGACTGACAGACTAACTAACTGAATGACTTATATTTCATTCATCAAGTTTAACTAAAAGTCGCAAAGTTCGAAAACAACAAAAAGAAAGTTGCACATTGAAAACGAGTGATAAAATAGAAAAAAAAACCCTAACACATAAATAGAAAAAGGGGAAAACAATTTAAAGCCCTTTGGTAACGCACACACACACACTCACACACAGAGATGGAGGGAAGAGAAAGAAAAACAAACATGTTGAACTTTTCTATACCAAAAAAATCATTTCTCACCCTAGCAAATTGTTAAAGTTCTAGAGGGGGTTTTTTGTCTCAATTCCAAAGAATTATACAGTTGTAACAACATCCTACCTACATAGATCGGCATTCATCAGCAACACTGGACATGTATAGAGAAGCCTTTATAGATTTCCCTGCAACAGTGACCAAACTGAAGCCATGGAAATTGTCTTTTACCAAAGGATATTCAGGGTGTCTGAATATCTGAGAGTGTGTTTCCCTAACTGCAATGCCAGAAAAAAATACATTGACATTTGCAGCAATAGGATTCACAGGAAAAAGGGAAGATCTGCTCGTTCATGTAGTCAATTTTTTGCATTTGATCCCCTCAGCATTTACACTGACTGGCTATTCCTGGAGATGTAGTATAAATATTTAAACAAAACAACAAACTTACTCCCCCGCTCTCTTCGTTCTTCTTCACTCGGCTCACTTAAACGTTGCACATTTTTAATTTGTTTATTTGATTTGTTTTCCAATATCCTTAAATGCAATCTCATGACAAGGGAGAGATCAGGTCTCATACCTCTTCGTCTATCATATAGCAACTTAAATAGATGTTTTATGTATGTAACTACTAACGTGAAAATCACACCAATAATTACCGTAACATTTCAAAATAAATGGGAATTGACTTAAAATTAAGTATTTAAGTTTCTAATGTAAACTTTTGTTTTTTTTTTATTTTTTACAGCTCAAAAGGAAGAGTTCCAATGTCCTTCAACAATAGCAAATGGCAATTATGCTGATCCCGCCACCTGCCGTCGTTTCTATCAGGTATGTAGAATATATAATTATAACCTACACCACATAGTGGTAAGGGTATTATGTCTTCATGCAATTATTTCTAACATGGAGAGGCGAGATAGAACCATAGATACTTTTGAGGATCTGCATGTCAGTCGGTCCGTCCGTCCATGTATTCGATTGAGTTGACATTTTCCGCGAAATATCAGTTTGGCCCAAGGACGAACCCTATTGAAATTGATTTAGATATAGCTCCCATATGTTTTCAACCGATTTCGGGTTAATTGTGCACCAAATGACTAAAAAGTCCAAGGAACCTCCCACCGAATTCAGTCTAGAAGCAAGTAAATCAAATTTGGAGAAAATCGGCTCCCATATACGGGGTGAGATAAAAAAAACTGCAACAAAGTCAAAAGACATAATTTTTATTATACCCTACAACACTATGTGTTGGGGGTATTATAAGTTTGATTGGGCCAAAAATTATGTAACACCTCGAAATATTGATTTCCCACATAGGAAAGTATATATGGATCTTCCTATCTCGCCGAGCTGAGTCGATCTAGCTATGTATGTCCGTCCGTCCGTCAGTCCATGTTAATTTGTAATCACTCTACAGGTCGCAATTATGGCCCGGGGATAGGGCCAGAATAGAACCCGATTTCTTTTGGAGATGATCGCATAATATCTAGGGGTTGAAATGGACCAAAAACTGAAAAATTTCTTGATTTTGTAGCTACTCTACAGGTCGCAATTATAAACCAATCGACGCGAAAGTTTACATGGAGCTAGAGCTTTGGGCTGGGCAGATGCTTTCCAATTTTGATGGTCATCGGCTAATATTTAGTGGTTGAAATAGACCATAGCATTTGTGATAAATAAAAGTCAAATTTTCCATTAACCCGCGAATATTTTTAATGCCGGCGAAATCGCAAATAGGCGAACAGGTCAATTCTGACCGTTACATAGATGCCGATAGCAAGAATATCAAATATATATAGCGAAATATATACAATGTATATATACAAAGGAAGGAGATGTTAGCTAGAATGCCTATATCTCCAGAATGGCTGGAGCGATTTTGACAAAATTTTGTCAATTTAGAATGCCCTCTTGGAATAAAAGTATAAACTCTAAAAAAATTGCATAAACAGATGCCAATAATGATTTTAATATAGATGTTGTAGTATTTTGTGACATTTTTTTATATTTTCATATTTTTTATCGCATGCGATTTTTTCAATTTGACTCATAATATTGAAGTGTATGTTTTGTAATATTTTTCTTCATTTTACAACACAGGTTGGGGTTATTATTTATATACAGATTGCAATTATCGTTCGATCCTCACGAAATTTTTCACATGGATAGGGTTAGGCTCAGAAGGGCTAAGCCTATTGTTTTCAAAGATGTTCGCAATATATTTATAGGTTGAAATGGACCTGCAACTCAAAATGTTCCTGATTTTGCAGCCGTTATGAAGGTCACAAATAGAAACCAAAGGACATGAAATCTCGCATGAAGTTAGAATTTAAGACAGCCGGTAGAATGGACCTCTACTTTTGTGTGAAAAAATACCAACATTACAGACGGGCGATATCCGAAGTACACAATAGGCGAACTTCTGGCTCTTTATGCTGATTTCGTTGACGAATATAGGCAAATATACTAGACAAGCAAATCATATAAATGAGTCTAACTTTGAAGACATAGAGGGGCCTCTTGCTTTTGGAGATGATCGCAAAATATTTAGGGTCTCAAATTAACCAAAAACAGAAAAAAAATCCTGATCACACAATTGAAGCCTTTCGCCACGCCTGAGATGATGATTAAACACAGGGAAGAATTCTGGCATTTTGGATGACCATTGGATTATATTAAGCCGTAAAATGGACCACAAAAACTAACAGCACGACGGATTGCATAAATATTGGGAAAATGTCCCTGGCCAAAATGCTAAGGGTAATATCTGGACAGTGCTCCGTGACATAATTTCAAAAGCGAAATCTTCTAAAATGGATTTGGGCATGAGGGGGCTTCTAACATATTGTAGTGTTGTAGGGTATCACATGGTCGGCCCCGCACGACTATAGCCTTTGCTTACTTGTTTTAAATTTATTGAATGAATGCAAATAAAAAATGTCGGAAATAGAATCAGATTTTAGAATTAGTTTAGATTTGTTCGAATTGGTCACCTTTGACATGAGTTATGGCCTTCAAACGGCCAATGAAACCGTCACACGCTGCCTGATTATTGCTCTGCGGTATTTTGGCCCATACCCGGCGAAGCGCTTGCTTGAGGTGATCTACACTTTGGTAGTTTTTAGTGCCAACCATGATTTCCAAAATACTCCAGAAACAATAGTCCAACGGATTGGTATCCAGAGATTTTTGTGCGCTGGAAATCATACGAAGAACCTCATTTTGTAACCATTCTTGGGTGGCGCGTGCTGAGTGCGATGGTGCTGAGTCCTGTTGGAATGTCCAAGGTCTGCGGCCAAAATGATTACGTGCCTAAGGCTTTAATACACGCTCCAGAATATTTTCGCGATAACATCCATCATTTATTCTGAAGCCACAGTCAACTAATACAAACGAAGAGCGACCATCGGCTGTTATGGCGGCCCAAGCCCACACCATCACCATGGCCGGCGCTTGAGTTCTGGTGGCCAACCAAAGGTGCACATTTTCAGCTGACCTCTTTGGCAAGTAAATACGATCATTTTGTTTGTTTACAAACTGCTGCACAACGAATGTTTTTTAATCGAAGAAAACCAAATTCGGTAGTTTACCACTTTTGGCAAAGCGAAACAACTCTTTAGCTCTTTTGAGTCTATTTCCTTTCTGTTGCGGTGTAAGTTCTTGCACTTTTTGCAATTTCAATGGCTTTACCCCGAGCTCATTTTTCTATATTTGCCGAATGGAATATTGTGATATGTTAGTCATTTTTCGGCCAATGTGACGAGGGTTTCGATCAAGTCGCTTCTTTACTTTTCGAACAATTTCAGCTGATGTTGCTGTTTTCTTTCGTCCACTTCCTTGACGTCGGGTAATCACGGTAACGAGCGATGGTACGAGACACAAAAGATTTATTCACATTTAAATGCTGGAGTGCTCTAACGATGGCCACTTGTGGTTTTCCAGACAAATATAAAGACATCATACTATCACGCTTGAATTCCATCACGAATAACTTTGTTTCTGGAAAATTCTCACCAAAATGCTTTTGAACAATATAATGAGCTGTCACTGGAATAATTTTAACTGCTGTCGGACGAGTGGCTTAGAAATAACAGCAATCTGAAGTTGGTTTCAGTTTTTCATCTCACCCCGTATATTTTTGATCAGCGTAGAATTTAAGATGATTTATCCCTGTCCTCCCGTCCGTATGTTGTCTTCACGCTAAAGGCAAAACTAATTAAGATAGGAAGCTAGAATTTTACACAGACCTATATTCGGTATTTTGACGATTGTAGCCAAATTTTTCAATGGGATTGTCTTTCAATGATTGGGTATATAGGTCCGCCATATCGTATATCCCCCATATAACAGTACCTCCCATTATTCGGTTTTTGATGATATTATCAACATTATTCAACGGAATTGTTTCAAATTTCGTATTTGAATTTCGGTATTAGTACCCTATTACAAAAAATTATGCAGGCAAACTTCTTCGTATAGCCCCCATATAATTGTGTTTATTTAAGTGGTATTTTTCGACGGATATTTTTGAAAATTTTCAAGATCTTACAAAATGGTTTAAGATATTAAAAGTTCAGCCCGGCCGAACATAGCAGCTTTTTTAATTGTTTTTTTAGCTTGGAGATTGGAGAATTTTTTGCATACCTAAGGTACGATCTTCCAAAAAAATTCTGCTTCAACTTTTCGTTTGCCAAAATATACCCAAAGTCTTCTAGAGATAAAAAATATATTTCAGATTTGGTTTTGCTCGTTTATAGGTGGAACCTTTCCTTAAGTTTTTTAGATGGAAGCAGTTATTCGTGTCTCTAATAACAGACGACCTCTTTGGATATACATCAGGTGTTGTGCACTCGGTATACTGTCTTCGGAAATTCGAAAGTCAGAAGAATTACATAAAATATTTTTGGCCATATGATTAGATATTCAGGTCTACTCTGCTCTTTTAGAGCAGAGAATTTCACATTTGATATTGGAAGATTGTACACAATTTTTCTAACAATAATTTCCATACCTTTTAAAAAGCAGTCCCTGCGATTCCATTCGTTGTACTTAATTTGAAGCCTCCTGAAACTAGTACAAGCTGAAACGATATACAACAGATTGAGAATCTTTGAATGTCTTGTAATAATTTTGTTGAGACCCCTTGCTCCTTGAGAATTTATTTAGAAATAGGGAAAAAATAATATTTGTACGAAAAATAGGCCTATTTGTGGTAACTCTTCCGAAAAAAAATTGAGAAAAAAATCAAGTAAAAAAGCATCTAAGTTCTGCCGGACTTTTAATATCTTCCACCATTTCGAAAGACTTGAATAATTAAAAAACTTTTAATATCTTCTACCATTTCTAAAGAAATGAATAATTAAACAAGTAAGCAAAGGCTACAGTCGAGCGGGGCCGAATACCCTACAACACTATAATAAGTGATACAGTTTATATAGGCGAGATACTCGAATGAATTCCACAAGATATTATGACAAATAATAAAAGAAAACCATCAGGTTTCGTTCTCTAATGTTCAAATAATAGCAACTTAAACTAATTTGCTCATTTCCAATTTATTGGTAGATGTTGCACTAGATTTGGAACCAATATTCCCAAAGACCTATAATCTCTCAGAAGTGGCAAAAGATAAACATTTATTATTGGTTTTTGACTGAAACGCATCTATATGAGATACAGACATTTGACTATATTTTTCAACGAAATCAGCTTTAACGAAATAGTCAGAAGTGTGTCTTTCCTGCATTTGTGAATTATCCAAAAAGTCACTGGAATGGACATTTTCGTATTTTGTCTACAAAAGTTGGCAAACTCCTTCACACATTGAATATTTTTGGATGGCCATCCAAAAATGCTGGGCTTTTGCAATGTCCGGTAACCCCCATTCAAATGTGCGTGAGGATCGGGCGAAGCCACCCAAATTGGTAGGCTTCTTCCCCGCCATAAACTCTAGCTACATGCGAAATTCCGCGTCGATTGGTCTATAATTGCGACCTGTATAGCTACTGCAAAATTAGACATTTTTTCAGTATTTGGTCAATTTCAACCCCTAAACATTTGGCGATCATCTCCAAAAGAAATAGGGTTCTATTCTGACCTTAGCCCCACCTCCATTCTAAATTTCGTGAAAATCGGGCCATAATTGCGACCTGTAGAGTGATTACAAATTAACATGGACAGACGGACGGACGGACATACATAGCTAGATCGACTCAGCTCGGCGAGATAGGAAGATCCATATATACTTTCCTATGTGGGAAATCAATATTTCGTGGTGTTACATAATTTTTGGCCCAATCAAACTTATAATACCCCCAACACATAGTGTTGTAGGGTATAAAAACCTGATGAGGGTTGTAACTGCAACGTAATATAACAACCTTGTTGTGACTCCTTACAACTTTAGGTATTATTTAACAAGTTAAAAAGTATCAGTCGGTATTGCCGACAGAAATATACCCTCAGCCTATGTTCGATTAAATGATCAAAATATATTTGACTAGTGTTACAATTATTCAAACGTTTGGCCCTCTATGGCGCAGGTTCCGAAGGAATGGACCAATATTGTCCATTTCGTATCGTATATATAAATATTCCGACGTTCTAACTCCTAACTCCTTCACTTTATATGAAATAAGTAATAATTTTTAGAAAATGTTAAAATGTGCGTGACGTACCATATAGAGTCTACCGAAATATTCCATTTTTATATTTCATCTGATACAAATAAAAAAATTGGGTAAATGATGAGGCAAAATTACAAGAAAAGATATTTATGTCAAATTTTATGCGAAATCATAAATTCCGATAAATTTCATATTCATATCAGGCTTCTTATTGAGAGAAATATTTGAGCATAGCAAGTAGTAAAGAACTGCTAAATTGTTTCGAAAGTTATGACAGATAAAATTATTGAAAATTGTGACCCTTTGTGGGTGAGGTACCGGAAGGGGTTCGCAGATATATATCAACTTCACAACAGATCTTGTGTTGGCAAAAATATTTGTATGTGTGAAGTTTGAAGAGAGTTGGATGCTTATTTCGCTTTATTTGAGTATTTTGTTTCTCAAAATCTTGATCCCTATGTATGGGGGAGGTACCAGAAGAAATGGTTCGATCTATATCACCTTTATAACAGATCTTGTGTTGATGGAAATATTTAGATGTGCTAAGTCTAAATGGAATCGGATGTTAATTTGACGTTTTATGAGCTTCATGGATATTCAAAATTTCGACACTTTGTGGGGGAGGTACCAGAAGGAGTGAACCGATACATTCCATGTCAACACCAGATCTTGGGTTTATAAAAATATTGGAATGTGTGAAATTTGAAGACGCTCGGATCCTTACATCACATTTTATAAGAGTTATAATTATGTTATTTAGCACCTGACCTAGGACTGATACAGATATTAGGATTTGCAAAGTTCGAGCAAAATCAGATTATCGTTTCTCTTTCTGTGCAGAAAATATTTTTTGAAAATTTCTACCTTTTGGGGGGAGGTACCAGAAGGAGTGGACCGATACATTCCATTTTCACCCCAGACCTTGGTCTAATAAAATTAATGGGATGTGTGAAATTTAAAGACTATCGGACTCTTAAATCACATTTTATAAGAGTTGTAATTATTCAAAATTTTGACCCTTTGTGGGGGAGGTACTTGATGGGGTGGACCGATATGGTCCATTTTCGCACCTGACATAGCACTGATGAAAATATTAGGATTCGCAAAGTTCGAGCAAAATCGGATTATCCTTTCTCTTACTGTGCAATAAATTCGTTTCTTTGAAAATTTTGACATTTTGTGTGGGAGGTACCAGAAGGAGTGGACCGATATCGCCCATCTCCGAACTCGATCTAAGTTTGACAAAAATGTTACGATGTACCAAGTTTGGATCAAATCGGATACTTCCTTCGAGAGTTATCGTGCGCACCGGCCAGCCAGACAGACAGACGGACGGACGGACGGACATCGGTAGATCGACTCCAAATGTTCTGAAACGGATTTGGTCCAAAGAGACCTACTGGCTAAAACCGTTATTTCGACTAGGCACGTTTTGACCGTATCAAATGATATATACCCTCTGTAGCCATATGGCTGAGGGTATAAAAATAGAGAACAAAATATTTTTACGAATTTAATATAGGATATATGGACCTACTCTTTGTGGTTCCTCTTTTCAAAATTGTTAAAAAAATTAAGAAACCATTAATCTCTTATGAACAATAATTCGTTGCCTCCTACTTCAGGTTTTCACCTTTCCGTACACCTCAAGACATGTTGTGCCTTGCAAATTTCCTTTCCTTATTAAATGTATCTAATAAAATTATATTCTTCTCTCCGTTTGCAGTGCGTCGATGGCTTCCCTTACCTGAATCGTTGTCCATCCGGTTTGTACTTTGATGATGTGCAAAAATTCTGTACCTTCAAGGATGAAGCCAAATGTGGTCCTTTGGCTACAAGTAAGTTAGCAAATAAACTCACACGCACACACACACAGATATATACACACACACACACTCTTATAAATAATTATGTTCAACACACAAACATTTTATCAACAAATTAAACTAATTGATACATATTATCTCAAGTATGGCACTCAGCATTAGTCTTAGGACTCAAATATTAGGTTATATCAAATTATCCTTTTGAAATATTTCTTCGAAACGAGAAAATTCTATTCGAGTATTTCGGTACGAATTGTTGATTAATTTTACATTAAGATATTGGAAAATGAAATGAAGAGAGGATAATTTAATTATTACGACAGTGGGACAGGGATACGACACTTTAATATAATCCTTTATTTAAAAAGAAAAAATATTTATAAAACAACTTTGATTGCCTGTATATTTACCCAGAGAATTTCCTATTATTTAGTTTAATTCAGTAATGTTAATAGCACTATTTAAATATTTATATTTTCCTACGTAGTAGAAGTAGTTATTTGTTTAGATTGTAAATCCAAAGATTAATTTCTTCTCCCCGGGGACAAATATTGATAGATTACGGCTGGTGTCTGAAACACGAAGAGAGTTAAAAAGACAAATTGAACTGCAGGGCCAACTTAATTCAATTAAATATTATAAAATATTACATACATAAAATACATACCTACTTACATGCACACCACATAGCTACCACATAGCAGGACATGCGACAGGGATGCAATCACAGTCTTATTTGAGGACATGAAGACCGAAAATGGCATACAGAGAAATGGGAAGCTGGACAAATGGGTTGGGTGTTTGGTGTGTAAGGACGAGAAACTTCATTCAATTTTGGGAGAATAATGAAATTGAGATGATGGAATGAATTTTATTAGATTATTCGAATAGAAAAGGACCGCTCTGCTTGCTTTTTTACCACCAAAGTGTACTTATCGCAAAAGTAAAGGCATATTCTGTCCACAAAAAGGTCCTTTGGAGGATCTTCTATTCATAAAAAGCTATTAAATGTACACATGCTATTAAAAGCTATTTAAAAGATATTTTTATCCAAGAAGAAATTTAAGAGGCAAAGTTTTGAAATTCGATCTACGGATAGACGGTAAAATCGATTTTGTGTAGGTGTAAAGGTACAAAAATGTACTAAAATTTGAATACTTCATTTTGAACAAACAGAATGAACTACAATTTCGTTCAAATGAGCTTCCAGTATGATTTTGCGATATTATTCACCGGAATTGTTTCAAATTTGGTATTTGAAGTTTGCAATGGATACTACAACCTAAGACAGAAAATTGTCTGTGTAAGTCCACGTCCCCATATATCGGTACCTCCCGATATTCGGTATTTTGATGATTTTAAAGACATTATTCAGCGGATTTTTTTCAAATTTGGTATTTTAAGTTCGAAATAGATACTACAGCCTATGACAGAAAATTGTCTATGCAGGTGCAGGTCTTCGTATAGCCACCATATAACGATACCTCCCTATATTCGGTATTTTGATGATTTTAGCGTCATTATTCACCGGATTAGTTTCAAATTACGTATTTAGAGTTCGTATTGGGAACTACACTCTGCGACAGAAAATTGTCTATGCAGGTCCAGGTCTTCGTATAGCCCCCATATATCGGTATTTTCATGATTTTGGCTGCATTATTCACCGTTTATTTCAAGTTTCGAATATGAGTATGGTAATGGCTTATGACAAACAATGCCTATGTAGGTCCACGTCGCATAGACTCCAATATAGCGGTATTTTTAAGATTTTAACAGAATTTTTAACGGATTTTATGTTTTGAAAATTGCCAAATTCGTTCCAAATGGTGGAGGGTATTCAAAGTTTAGCCCGGCCGAACTTACTGCTTCATAACTTGAATTATGTTAACGGTTAGAGTTAAAAACTTGAAATTTGGTATTATATACGAAAAGGTACTAAACGGTACTAAATTAAGTACAATTTGAATTTGGAGAAATGAATGGAGCTGAAATCCTGAAATTGGGATTATTATTGAAGCAGGATTGGGATATGTAGTAAATTTTCGAAATTCATACTTATGTGCACTAAAAGTACTAAAAGGTACTAAATTTGGTACAATTTAAATTTCAAGAGAACCCATAGAGTTGGAATCCTGAAATTTGAAAATAGGATTACCATTGCATTGTAGGACTGAGGTATGAAGTTAGTTCCGGAAATTCGTACTTATGTGTACTAAATGGTACTAAATTTGGTATATATATATTTTATTTTGGGAGCACCTGTAGAGTTGGAATCATAAAATTTGAAAATAAGATTTCGGTTGGACTGTATTATGTAGGTAACTACGAAATTTTGTACTTAAGAATACTAAATTTGGTACAATTAGCATTTGGGAGAACCAATAGAACGGGTGCCCTGAAAAATGAAAATAAAATTACTGCCAGAGTGTAGGATTGGGATATGTAGGTAGTTTTGGAGATTTGTACTTATATGTACTAAAACGTATCAAATAAAGTACGAACAGGGATAGAAATTTTGGAATTGGGATTACTGTGGGAGTGTAGGATTGGGGTATGTAAGAAGTTTTGGAAATCCATACTTATGTGTACTAAATGGTATTAAATTTGGTACAAATTGGAATTGTGATGAACCGATGGAGCTAAAATTCTGAAATTTGGAATGAGAGTCACTGATGGAGTGCAGGATAGATGCAGCAAATGAATTTTTGAAATTCGAACTTTAAATTTAGGAAAATCGCTGTTGGTATCTGAAATTGAGACATGTAGTTGGTTTTAAAAATTGTTACTATAATTGTTCGAGAACTACTAAATGGTACTCAATTTGATATTGGGTGAACATTTTGGAACATGTGGAGGTAGTTTTGGTAGTGTATATTACAATTGTACGAAAATTAGTAAATAGTACTATATTTGGTACAATTTGATATTGGGTGAGTAGATAGTGCTTTAAATCTGATATTTTGCATTAGGGTCGCTGTTCATGTGTAGCCTGAACATATGGAAGTGGTCTTGGAAATATGTTCTATAATTGCACGAAATGTATTGAATGGTACTATATTTGGTATTGGGTGAAGGAATAAAGATTAAATTCGGAAATTTGATATTTAGATTACTGATGGTATCTGTGTTTGAGATTTGGCGATGGTTTGATAATGCGTCGTTTATTTTTAGAAAAAGTACAAAATAGTACTAAATTTAGTATTGAGTGAAGAGATAGGATTGCAATCCTCTAATTTGATATTAAGGTATCTGGAATTGAGATGTGGGGGTGGTTTTCGAAATATATGTACTATAATTGTACGAATAGTACTAAATAGTCCTAAATTTGGCATTGGGTGAAGGAGTAGAGCTAAAATCCTTAAATTTGAAATTGTGGTCTAAATTCGTATCTGCAATTGAGATGTGGAGGTGATTTTGGATATGTGTTCTATACTTGAACGAAAAGTACTATATACAGGGTTGCCCATATTCGACGGACCCATCTGGCAACGCCATAACTTTTGACAGAGATGTCACATCGCTTAATGACATACCGCGTTTGAAGCGACAGTCCAAGCAGATTTTTACCCTGAACCAATACACGCCACGCAAGCGCTCTGAAATAGTTGAAATTTACATTCAACAGAAGAAGTCAATTGTGAAAACTCAACGTGCTTTTAAAACATTAAAAAATGTGAGAAGTGCGCATTCTAAGAACACCATTAAGGGTTTATACGAAAAATTTTCGACTGGTTAAGCTCTTTCTAATCCGAAGAGGCCATATAAAAGTCGACCAAGGCGATCGGCCGAGAATATCGCTGCCGTACGAGCCAGTGTTGAGAGGTCCCCAAGAACTTCCCAAAAACGCCGTTCTCAGCAGTTGGGCATGGCTCGGTCCACTTTACAACGGATTATTCGCATTGATTTGCATTTGTTCCCGTACAAAATTCAATTGACGCAAAGAATGTTGCCTGCGGACAAGCATCGACGATTGGAATGGGCCCAAAGGTCCGTCGAATATGAGCAACCCTGTATTTAGATTACTGATGGTATCTGCGTTTGAGATTTGGCGGTGGTTTGATAGTGCGTCCTATATTTGTAGGAAAAGTACAAAATAGTACCAAATTTTGCATTGAGTGAAGGGATAGGGCTGAAATCATCAAATTTGATATTTAGTTTTTTTTTTTTTGGTATCTGGAATTGAGATGTGTGGGTGGTTTTGGACGAATAGTACTATATAGTACTAAATTGGATATTGGGTGAAGGAGTAGAGCTAGAATCCTGAAATTTAAAATTGAGGTCTAAATTCGTATCTGCAATTGAGATATGGAGATGATTTTGGAAATGTGTTCTATGCTTGGACGAAAAGTTATATATAATATTAAAATTGATATTGGGTGAAGGGATAGTGTTGGAATCCTAAAATTGAAAAATATATTGAGGTCTCTGTTAGCATCTGGGATTGAGATTGACAGTGGCTTAAAAATGTGTCTTATATTTGTACAATAAATACTAAATGGTACCAAATCTAGTATTGGGTGAAGAGATCGGGCAGCAGACATCAAATTTGATATTGAGGTCTCTCTTGATATCTGGAATTGAGATATGAAGGTAGTTTTGGAAATGTGTGCTATATTCCTTAAATGGGAGGTGGATTAGCAAATGCGCACTGTTTTTGTTCGAAAAGTACTAACTGACACTAACTTTGGATCTCTGTAGGAACTTAGAACAAAAAGATGTAGCATTAAATTTGGTATTAGAGCTGAAACCGTGAAATTTTATATTTCCATAACTCTATTGCCAATGATTTTACTAATATCCTTCTTGGTATACTTCAAATGAAAGATTTTGAAGAATTTACGGCAGAAAAGGGACACATTTTCCTATACTTCTTTCCGAAAGAAGAATAACTTGAATAATTTACAAAACCTTTAAATTCTGTAATTTTTGGAACGATGTATGATGTTTTGATTAAAAAATGTTTGTCGAACTGAACAAATTGTATATTTTCAGGCTTAACTCGAACTGCTAGA